ATTGGCTCATTATGGGGGGGGGGGGTTCCTCACCCAGGCTCCCCTTCCCAGTGTACACTTTAAGGAGGCTTCTTTATACATGTTGTTTCTACTCTAGAGGAGGCACTCAGCTGCAGGCCCTGGCAAGCACGGGCACTCTTGCATGCTACATATGCACTCTCCTTGGAAAGTGTGTGTGTGTCGCGTGCAAACCCACAACTCCCAAGCCTCCCATGGCCTACAGCCAGCTGAGCACCTCTTACTCTGGAGTAAGAGCTGCTCGGCTGACTGCAGGACCTGGCAGGTGCATACGCTCCTGCATGCCACACACACACTCTCCTTGGAAAGAGAGTGCATGTGTGGTGTGCAGGCGCAGGTACTCAGAGCCCGCATGCCACACACAAACTCTCTTTCCAAAGAGAGTGCGTGTGGGACTTGCATGAGCGTCCATGCCTGCCAGTGCCTCCAGCTGAGTGGCACTTACTCTGTGATGCCGAAAATCAGGCCAGGAGCTGGGGCCTGCTCCTGCTTGCTTTCGTGTTGAGGATTGCCGTAGTGGGAGGAGCTTTCCTGTTTCATGCTCCTGAAGAAACGAAAGACATGAAAGAAATGAATGAAATGGGAGAAACGAATTCTGTACACAACTCTAGTGACTGCACATGCAACATGGCTAGTTCTGTCCCATCATTATGCACCTAAACCGGTCCTGGTTATTTGAAAAAGAAATATACATTTTTATAGAATCGTTGAGTTGTAAGAGACCACAGGGGCCATCCAGTCCAACCCTCTTCTGTCATGAAGGAAAAGCACAGTCAGAACACTCCCTACAGATGGCCTCCATCCTCTGTTGAAGAAGCCTACAAAGAAGGAATTTCCCTTGAATTCTGAGGCAGAGCATCCCACCGCTGAATAGTTCTAATGTTCAAGTGGAATCTCCTTTCCTGTAATTTGAACCCATTGCTCCATGTGTCCTAGTCTCCAGGGCAGCAGAAAGGAATCCTTATCCCTCTTCTGTATGACATACTTTCCAGTATTTTAACATGGCCCTCCTGTCTCCTCTCAGCCTTCTCTTCTGAGGCTAAACAGACCCAGCTCTTTAGGCTGCTCCTCAGAGAGATTACTGGTCTCCAGACCTTTGATCATTTTGGTTGCCCTCCTCTGGATGCCTTCCAGCTTAAGAGTCAATATCCCTCTTGAATTGTGGTGCCCAGAATTGGACACAGGGTTATTCCAAGTGAAGTCTGACCAAAGCAGAATACAGGGGCACCATGACATCCCTTGATTTTTGCCTGTTTATTTTTAAAAACTGAATCATTCTGTTACAAAATTATGAGAAACAGAGGTTTCAGAGGATAATGAAGGTTTAGTTTCCATAATGGCTTGCAAGTAGATAATTGGGCGCATTCACAATTGAAACATATCTAATATTTTGAAATATGCATAGATATTTTTTCTGAGATCTCTACTCAAAACCTGTTGAGATTCTTCTTGGCTTTAAGAAATCCAGTGGCAAGTGTTCTGTCCTTCTGTGTATAATAATTGTTCAAGACAAGCGGTGACAACAGCTGAAGGGAAGAAGCTGCAGGCCAGCTAGACAGATGAATCAAATATATGCAAGCCTTGTAATCCAAATTGGTTGGGAAACTAATCCCATGTCCTTTGTTACAATGCTTTGGCACCATTCCCACTATTTAAGTTGTAAAGTGTCTTGGGGGGACACTGCCAAGTGTGTCTTCCCTTGTAATAATGACATCTCTTCTTGATTTGGCACTTGAAAAAGCCCTCATACATATTCAGGGGCTGTGTGTGACCTGCTTTTAAAAATATATGTACGACAATGTATGCCACAATAATTCAAATTCTACATCCAGAAAGTTGGATTCTGAAATCGGCATGAGGTGTGCAGGGGTGCCATTTCTCTTATTTTTCATGGTCCCCCATTTGTGCCACCTTCCCGCAATTAATTTTGATGTTAGTACTCATGGGGGAGGATCAAGAAACTGGCGCACAGCCCTCTCCAATTATAAGGGCAAACTAGATTGGAAAGGAAAGAAGTGAAAACTCTGACCCTGCAGATGTTGTTAGACCTCTTATTAGTTGTTGATGTCACTGAGGCGAGATTGTAGGCAAACACCTGTAATTTTATGTGGTCCTCTAGATGCTGGATATCACGACTAGAGCTGATGGGAGGTGGGATACAGTGACATCTGGAAGTCAGGATAGTGTTTAGTCAGGAAAATGGGGCTTAGTCAGGATGCCCGACTTTAAAATGTCCTTTAACCTTTCCCCAACTTCAGGGACACAAGGCCTGTTGGGTTGCAGTTCTCATTATCCACAGCTTGCATCCCCAATAGTGATGGGAATTGTTGCTCAGGGTATAGGGTTACAGCCTGTGCTTGTCAGGGGTCACACTCCCTCTGAAGGCACAGGTTTGCAGCTTGGGAGTCATTGCTGAGCCTGGAACCCCAGGTCTCGGCAGTGGCCAGGGGAGCTTTTGCACAATTAAAACTTGTGCACCTTGGGAAGTCAGACTTGGCCACAGTAGTCCATGCTCTAGTTACATCCTGAATAGACTACTGCAATGTGTTGTACGTGGGGTTGCCCTTGCATACTATTTGGAAGCTACAAATGGTCCAACAGGTGGCAGCCAGACTTTTCACCAGAGTGGTGTACAGAGAGCATACCCCTGTTAGATCAGCTCCACTGGCTGCCCGTCTGCTACCGAGCACAATGCTGAGTGGGGTTAAACTCCCCCCGAAGACACGGGTTTGCAGCTTGGGAGTGATCATCACTGAGCTTGGAACCCCAGGTCTCGGCAGTGGCCAGGTGAGCTTTTGCACAATTGTGACCATACCTTGAGAAACCAGACTTGGCCACAGTGGTCCATGCTCTTGTTACATCTCAAATAGACTACTGCAACACTCTACATGGGGTTGCCTTTGAAAACTGTTCAGAAGCTCCAAGTGGTCTAACGGGCAGCAGCCAGATTTCTCCCCTGTTACATCAGCTCCACTGGCTGCCCATCTGCTTCCAAGCACAAATCAAAGTGCTGGCTTTAGCCTATAAAGCCTTAAACTGTTTTGGTCCAGCTTACCTGTCCAATTGCATCTCCCCCTATGAACCATCTCGGAGGCTAAGATCATCCGGGGAGGCCCTGCTCTCAGTCCCACCTCCTTCGCAGGTGCAACTAGTGAGGATGAGAAATAGAGACTTCTCAGTGATGGTCCCTCATCTATGGAACACCCTCTCCAACGAAATTAGATCAGCACCCTCCCTCTTGGCCTTCAGAAAAAAAGCAAAAACCTGGCTATGGAACCAAGCATTTGGGCAGTAAACAGGACAAGAAATGAACACGGATTATGTGTCATTGTTATTTGATGCTGGAATGGCCTGGAACATGCTTCTGGATTGTGTGATTTTAATGTTTATATTGATATGTTTTTAATCCCATGTTTTAATGTAGTTACATTTTATGATTTCATTTAGTTTTATGTTGCTGTTGTTTTCATGTTTTGTAAGGCATTGAATTTTGCTGTGAATATGTTGGAAACCGCTTTGAGTCCGCCCAGGGGTGAGAAAAATGGTATATAAATGAAGTAAATAAATCAAGAAATCAATAAATAACATCTGGGAACCCAAACTGGGTAAAAGCTAAAAATTATAGTTGGCCCTGCGTATCCATAGATTCTCCATCCATGGATTCAATGGTTCTTTGAAGATAACCATAAAGCTGACCCTCAGTGAAAATGAGTTTGACAGCCTTAGGACCTTATCATTTTAGGAAATACTCCATTTCTGATACTGTTTATAATAATAATAATCATAATAATAATAATAATAATAATAATAATAATAATTACAACAACTACTACTACTATTTAATTTATACCCCACCACCATCTCCCACAGGGACTTTGGGTGTTTGAGAATGGTTTCAAAAGAGGCCCATCACATGATGTTTGCCCCATCCCATCAGTATTCTGTCGGAATCCATCTGCAAAAGGTCGCAGAAATGGATTATTTGCAGATGGAATTTTAATTGTGTTTTTTGAAATGCTATGGATACTTCTGTTGCTGAAGCACTGTTTTTGTGTGTGATAGGAAAATCTGTATGCATCCCTTCAGCAATGATACTTTTTAAAAAGTCATAGAGTGATGCAGGCGGTGTTTTGAATGGATTGGGTGGAGCCAGCCTTTCGTGGCGTGATGAGTCAAAGTGCAGTATTTTCAAATCATAAGAATTGTAATAATCAGGTGTGATGAGGAGAGTATGCATCCCGTCTCAATAGAGTATGCATCCAGTATTTACAAAATATGGGATGCATACGGATATAAATGGATAACAGTATTCCCTCACTTATTGTGGGTGTTCTGTTCTAGGACCACCCGCAATAAGTGAAAATCTGTGAAGTAGGGACGCTCCGCCCACTCGAGTAGGCAGAGTGTCCCTACTTCACGGCAGCCCCCACCTTGCCACCTCCGCTGCGCCCAAGCCTGGTGCCCAGCCTGGCGAGGAAGGCGCAGGGAGCAGTGGAGGGATGAGGAAGAGGACACCGCCGCTGAGGCCCTCTTCGGTAGTGGCCTCCTCCTCCTTGCCACCTCTGCAGCTCCCTACCTGGGAGGTCCCTTCCTCACCAGGCTTGGCGCCCTCTGCACAGTTCCCTGCTCCCCATGAAACAGAGTCCACAATAAGCGAACCACAAAGTAGCGAGGGAACACTGTATATCCCAATGTGATAAGGTCACTAGTGATACTCTCCCATGTCTAGAAGGCTTGGAAGGCTTAGTTCTGGTATTCAGTCTTGGAACTCCCTCTGATTTCATTTCTAGCAGAAGGTACGAATACACCTTGCAATCAAGCTTTTTTAAAATCATACCTTTCTTTCTGAATAACAAACGCTATCCATCTTGAACTGCAGAACCTTTGAAAGACCAGTAATGAGTAATGCAACGAAGATGGATGGAATAGCTAGAGATGACAGTCTCTGTCTAATTGTTAACACGGCTTCTTGCTTCTTCCAGGGCAAAGGTGAAGAAAGGTGTGAATGTTTTCAGCATACGAGCCAGCAATCCATACACATGGGACGTGCAAAAGAGTGTGGATTATATTGGGAAATATGCACCGACGGTTATATTTTGCCGAAGGAAATCAACTCCCTTGGGGAAAAGGTAGGTTCCTGGTTGCTTTACATTGTTTACAAAGTTGTCCAAAGGAATCTACGACTTACTTGTGGAAAGTGCATTATGAGGACAAACGTAGCTGGTGGAAAAAAAAAAGTTGGTCCACCACAAATGATTTTCCTTTCCAATCCGTGTTTTTTTTCTTCTCTTCAGAATGTGTGGTGCATTCCCAGGGTGATTGCTTGGCCCATGGGGACAGGAGCCTAATGGGGCTGACGTTTTAAATTCTGTTTTGACATTTTCTCGTGAGAGCTCTGGCAGGAAAGCAATGTAAAAACACTGCAAAGAAAAAGTAAGAGAGAGAGCCGGCCACTCTTCTGAGCAGTCCCTAGAACACAGCCACATATGGTGCCCTGGATTCTTCTGCACTCCTCATTTAGAAAAAGAAGCTCCCCAAAAGCCTTGAATAATGGCAATTCTCCCTTAAAACAAAGGCATAGGGTCTTGCTTTAAAACAAAGGGGAGTCTGCTTTTTTGCTTCCTAACCAGAACTTCCAGTACTGGGGAAAAATAAGCCAGTAATAAATAAATATCACTCAAATTGTTTGTGGGGGAAGTTAACAGTGAAACCAGCCTGGTCTCAACGTATGAACTGTGGATGATCTACGCAAACAACTGGACAAGGGTGGGTGTCTCTGTTGGTTCTCTTGTACCTCTAATTGGCCTTCAATACCATAGACCATAGTATGCTTCTGGGATGCCTCACGGGGATGGAACTTGGAGGTACTGTCCTGCAGTGGCTCCAGTCCTTCCTCGAGGGCTGTTCCTGGAAAGTGTTGCTGGGGGACACCTGCTTAGCTCCAAAGCCTTTTTCCTGTGGGTCCCGCAGGGTTCAGTAATGTCCCCCATGTTGCTTAACATCTACATGAAGCCGCTGGGAGAGATCATCCGGAGTTTTAGAGTTTGACGTCATCTGTACGCAGATCATTCCTTTCCTCCTACTGCTAAGGAGTCTGTTTAGGTCCTGAACTGGTGCTTAGCAGCTGTAATGCTCTGGATGAGGGTGAACAATTGAAATTGAATCCAGACAAGACAGAGGTACTCCTGGTCAGTTGCAAGGCCAAACAAGTTACAGCCTATGCTGGGTGGGGTTACACTCCCCCTGAAGATACAGGTTCACAGCTTGAGAGTGATCCTTTACTCATCCCTGAGCCTGGAACCCCAGGTCTCAGCAGTGGCCAGGTGAGCTTTTGCACAATTGTAACCATACCTTGAGAAACCAGGCTTGGCCATGGTGGTCCATGCTCTCGTTACATCTAAAATAGACTACTACAACACACTCTACATGGGTTTTATTTATTTATTTATTTATTTATTTATTTCTATTTACCACATTTATATATTGCCCCTTTCAGCCCAGAAGCGACTTGGAGACTTGAAATTGGCAACAATTTCATGCCTTAACAATTATAACAAGTAAATCAATCATAAAATACTGTTAAAACATTAGCATACAATATAAGAATATTAAAAAAAATATACAAAGCCTTAAATACCTTATCGTGAGCATCTCCATGTCAAGTCATTATTCAATTGCGTCGTTAAGTGGTTCAATGATTTCATATAACTATGCCATATTTGGGAAGGCCTGCTCAAAAAGCCAGGTTTTCACTTTTCTTCAAAAACTCAGGAGGGAGGGGGCTGATCTTAAATCCTTAGGCAGGGCATTCCACAGTCGAGGGGCCACCACTGAGAAGGCCCTGTTTCTCGTCCCTGCCAAGCGCATCTGCGAAGAAGGTGGGACTAAGAGCAGGGCCTCCTCAGAAGATCTTAATGTCCTAGATGGTTCATAAGGAGATAGGTTTGGATAGGTAAGTTGGACCGAAACCGTTTAGGGCTTTATAGGCTTTATAGGGTTGCCTTTGAAGACTGTTCAGAAGCTTCAAGTGGTCCAACGGGTGGCAGCCTGATTTCTCCTCTGTTACATCAGCTCCACTGGTTGCCCATCTGCTGCTGAGCAGAATTCAAAGTGCTGACTTTAGCCTATAAAGCCCTAAAGTGTTCTGGGTCAGCTTTCCTGTCCAAATGTATCCCTCTCTATGAACCATCTCGGAGGTTAAGATCTTCTGGGCAAGCCTCCTTCTCAGGTGCAGTTGGTGGGGATGAGGGACAGGGCCTTTTCAGTAGTAGCCCCTCAGTAATGGAACTTTAGGTCAGCTCCCTCCCTCCTGACCTTCAGAAAGAAATTAATAAACATGGCTGTGGGACCAAGCCTTTGGACAATAATGCAGTGCAATAAGTGAAGATGGAATATGTGCAACCACAACTGCTCCTTGACTATGATTTTGGATTTTGTGGTTTTTAATAATTAGTTTAAATGTTTATATGCTGTTTAATTTTGTTCTTAATGTGTATGCATATTTTATGATATGTCTGCTTTATGTGGCATCAAATTGTTGCCTATTGTAAGGCTGCTCTGAGTCTCCTTCGGCGTGAGAAGGGTGGGGTATAAATATAGTAAATAATAAATACATAAATAAATCAACTGAACCTGCACCCTAGAATGCACACAAGACTTCCTTGAGCAGACATGTTTGTGTGGAAATGACTGCTTCATCAAGATCAGAAGCCACTGTTTTGGGTTTTATGTGCCAGAGGTACAGTTTTGTTTCTTTCCTCTTTATTCATTGCAAAACATTCCTTTACTTCCATAACATTTTATATTAGGCTTTCTAAACATGCACAGCAGAATGTGCTCGCGGAAAAGAAGTGGAAGGCAGATTTTGATGCTATCATTGTGCGTCGGCTTCTAATATTCTGCTTATTGTGTTACATGTGCTGTAAATCAAAGAGGATCTTTTATTATTATTCTTTGCCATCTTGATTGCCTAAAGGAAATGGGGGAAAGGAAGAGAGATGTTTGACTGAAAAGGAGGAAAGGAAAGGAAGAGAGAAGCTTTGAATTTGGTCCAGCCCTCTTGTTCAGTCTCTTCAAATTACTGGGGAGGTTTAAAGATGAACGTCTTGCTAATTACCATCCTTGGTTTGTATCCTGAACCTCCCAGAGGGGATTAAAAATGCTTTCCAGGCTTCAATCCACTATTCTCTTTAGTGAATTTTTAATCCACATTTGGAGACTTAGAACTTCTTCTTCTTTTAATCCCTGAAGTGTAATTGCTAATGTAGGACTCTGACCTCTAAAACAATCAGCGCTTAGGAAGTGGGTTATTATTTTGATTTCTCCTTGTGACAGAGGATTTGTGAGAATAATCACATTGACTCTTGGTTTGTTAACACGAAGGAATAGTTTGTCCATACACTCATTTGCTGAGACACAACAGGCTTGAGGATTGTATGGATTCTGTTTCATGCGATTAAGTTGGGGGAATGGCCCAGGCTGAGGAAGTATGGCAAAGTGGAGCCCTGAAATATAGGATTGCCTCTTTTGGAACAAGTGTCTTGACTCTGACTCACAACTATCTGTTCACCATTGGTCCTGGTCAAATGTGTTGAGTAGAGGCACTGGGAGTCCTTAATTCAAGCCACTGGGACACTTCACTATATGCAGCTGGGCTTAGATAGTGATCAGAATAATTATTGTGGGTGCAGTGAAGGCTGTAGCACCCAGGATCACCTGATCAGTATCACAGGGTTTTCTGGAGCTGAGAGTGTGTGACTTGCCCAAGGTTATGCTCTAGCAGGGATTCAAACCCTGGTCTCTATTGCTATTGTCCAGTGCTCAAACCACTACACCGTGCTTACTTTCAAGCCTACCTTGGTGAGGTAGGCTAGAAAGGCAGAATAACCAATGGTGTAGAGCAGGTGTGGCCAACTGTTGGAGGTGATAAGACTACTAGAGGCAAAAAATGCCCCAGCGGATCAACAATATGACAAAATTGCCATCCACACCCACCAAAGGATTTTGAGAGGTAATAATAAATAAATAAATAAATAAATAAATAAATCCCAGTCGACAGCAGGACTGAAGAGAAACAACTGGAAAAGCTGACACGATACGAGGATTTCAAGATCGAACTGCAAAGACTCTGACACAAGCCAGTCAATTTGGTCCCAGTGGTGATCGGCACACTGGGTGCAGAGCCTAAAGACCCTGGCCTGCACTTAAACACAATCAGCGCTGATAAAATTACCATTTGTCAGCTGCAAAAGGCCACCCTACTGGGATCTGCACGCATTATTCGCCGATACATCACAGTCGTAGACACTTGGGAAGTGTCCGACGTGTGATCCAATACAACAATCAGCATAGTGATCTTGTTTGCTGTGTACTAATATTGTTGTGTTTCAAATAATAATACACTTAATTTATATTCCGCTTTATCTCCCCAAAGGGACTCAGAGTGGACTACAATACACATATGAGGCAAACATTCAATGACATACAACACAGACAAAGGTAAAGAGATTCCCCGCTTTTCCATCTCTGGCGTCTGGAGGCGATGTTCAACTCTGGGCATGAAGAGGTGCTTTTGTTTCATTTTCTGTGCCGAGGAGCCTGTTGTCCATGCATGCCTCTGATTGTGTTGGCAGCATATCTGCATTGGGGCACCCTTTTACCTTCCTGCCGAGGCAGTACCTATTGATCTAATTGTGTTGCATGCATTCAGACTGCTGTTGGCAGGAGCTAGGCTTGACAGTCAAGAGCTCATCCCAACTCGTGGCTTTGAACTGCCAGCCTTCTGGTCAGCAGCTTTCCGAAGCTAGCAGTTTAACCTGCTGTGCTACCATGGAGGAAATGTGTTTTCCCCCAATGCTTTCTGTACTTGACATATGCACAATGACCCACTACTTTTTTCTGTAGCCCACAAGGTACATGACAAACTCTGTAGCTTATTATTGAAGCAAAGCAGCAAAACAAGATCACCATGACAGGTGGGATGGGCTTCATTTGGCTTAATGGCTCTAAGTTACGGAAGCCTGGGTATTGATTTTTCTCCCTTTTATATCCTTATTCTCATTTATAAATATCAGTTTCCAGTTGTTGGTGATATCTGTGTTTCTCCAGACTGATTTTGACAACTTGTCAA